CAGATAATATGTAAAGTATAAATACGAAAATTTTCAATTTCAAAATAATAATATTCAATTAGTACGCACAATAGTATTCGAAAGTTAATTATAATAATAATTCTTCCTGAAATAAAGTTATGTTTGTGGTATGGTGTACGTATCACGGAAAGATCTTTGTGGAATAAGAGTATATAAAATCGTTTATAATATCTTATTATAAACTGTAATATAATATAATAACATATTATAAATTTTACAATAATATGTTATAAACTTTATAATAATATATTATAATAAACTTTTGTGTATATTAACTGCGTTAGGGCCACTAAACAGTGTTTGCTGTTGCACAAATGGGCACATCCATTCGGCAGTACCACGACCTCACGTAAGACCGGCGTCAAGTAAAAGTTTCACACTTCTGCATTATTATATTATACGTATTGCAAATGTCCATGGGCGGCGGTTATCACTTTACATCAGGTGAACCGTCTGCTCGTTTGCCACTTTTTCACATAAAAATAAATAAACCAATAAATATCACATATAGAAGATATAAGGCGATAGCGAAAAATTCACAGTACTGTTGAAGTTTAGAACGTAAATACATACACGTTTAATAATCAAAATATATATCTGTACATGTATATTATAAATAACATATGTATAATTAATTGCATACATTAATGCAGCTATGTGTATATTTATAAATATGTTATTCTCCACAAAGTAAATCCAGAAAATAAACAGTGCACAATGGAGGATATTGTTTTGATTTATTGAATCCTTATCGTTCTTTGTACTTTCTATCGTTTGTTTGAAGTTGTAAGGAATCGATAACAGCCTTCAACTGTATTCCATTTACCAATTACCAATAACAACGCTATATTTATTATTAGTAAAAGATTGTCAGTATCACAGAATTTCATTTTATGAAGATTTGTTCTCAGTACTCCTCTTATTTGTCACAACTATTTTACAGTGTTGTTAATCGTTTCTATAAATCATTTGGGTTTTTTTAATATCCATGATTAGCAACGCTTGTACTATTGGTACTAAAATACGACCGTGATACGAACCGCGGCCGTCTGTTTTGGGGCCGCCCGATTATCGACCGAGCTATTATAACATTTATTTTTGCGGTGAAATTCGTCATAATCGAATGATATTTTTTAATCCCTGAAAACAGCGATAAAAGGACATATATATACACAAAAGGACATATATATATAATTATGTCCTTTTGTGTTATGTGACAAGACACAAAAACAAATGACGTTAAATAGATCTTTTAAAAACATATTTAAAAGGAAAGAGGTCCTTAGTTTAAATCTGAATGAACCAATTTGAAAAGAACTTAGGATAGAAATCCCTAAGGAACTTGAGAGAACAAGATTGCTTTCATGACTTTCTTAGAAGTAGGTCGATTTTCTGCGAATTCATCTGCGAAACCGGAGAGAAAAGAAAAGTTCATCGTCGAACTTTTCAAATATTCTCCGAAAAAATAATTAAAATTGTGTGTATAGCACAATCAAACAATGAAATTCAAAAAAAAAAAATTGTTGTTAGCAATTGGCAGTTAATTGACGTCAACTTTTGTATTTTGATATTAAAGTAAACTAAATGCTGACCCGTTACCGGAGTACTCTGACCTTATGCATAGTTTTCACAACGATGCCTTTGATCTTTGAAAGTGGTTCATCCGACTATTTAAGGTACTATGAGGAAAAGAAAGTCCTCGAAAATACTCCGTCATGGGTAAAATTAATGCAGATGAATTAACAGATAAGGAATTACAATAAAAATCCTGGAAAATGTATAAAAAAATCTTTTATAAGGACCCGCTTAATGCCCGCTAGCCACTTGATGGTAAGTGACTATGCAGCTATAGGTTCTACTTTGTACAAGCTTTTATTTAACTTGCAGTGTACGCATGTTTGTCCGAATGGAATTTTGTAAATGAATTTGAAAACAGATCTTTCTTGATGGAAAGACAGACCCCGGTGAATTGTTTCTTTGCTGTTTACGTAATGAATGACGAAGCAGTGCTTGGTTCCAGTGCGTCAAATATCAACAATAAAAGGATTGACGAACTTCACAGTTTTTTCTTGTTGTTCCCTCGAAAAAAATCCCCGCCCTCCCATATATTAGATATAAGAAACCCACTTTGAAAATTTTCTGTATCTGTGTTTTTAAGTTACTTATTTCCGCCCTACAATACTTACAGTAATTCAAACAAGGAATTACGACGATAAGATCTGATTCCGCATAGCCAAGGTGCTGAGTGAGAAAAACACATTTTCCGTTTTCTAACTTTAATTGTCTCAATAAATCTTTCTGCAAGTAAAGAAGGGTCATAAAACGTGCTATGAATAATGCAAGACATTTTTTTAATTTCCTGTTTTCTTACGGTTCATAATATTTAATATATGTGTTTTTAGACATTATAAATCGATAACAATACTAAGCACATTAATTTGAATAATAATAATAAGCGTACTACAATTTTTTTTTTATATGAACGGTTTTCAATCAAGACGTCGGTCCACCTGATTTTAAGTGGATACCGTTGCTCATAATATATACAGCACCCGAGGGGCTTGAAGATGCGTTGATAACCTATAAAAGTGGGCCACGGTTACCTCACTCACCAGACGAAACGCGAAAGTATAATAAATTCAACTTTACGCTTGTTTTCTGTGAAGCCGTGGCACTGGTGATGTTGCATGGCACTACCACAGTGAAACCTGTATTTTTTTTTATTTTACTTACTAACTTTTAGTAAATAAAAAAAACATTAATAATAACTAGCGGACCTAAAAAAAATGTTAATCTAAACCATTCTCGCATCGACCTAAAGACAAAAAATTTCATCAAAATCGGTCAGCCGTTGAGGAGGAGTTTAGTGACATACACACGTACAGAAGAATTATATATGCAAAGATTATTATATTCGTTATAAAAAAAATTGCCATTTTAGCAATTGAACTCGCATAATAAGCACAAAGACAAAAAAGTATTCTTATGAGATTATAAAAAATGGTAAGTGACTGAAAACATCTTATATTATGGGATGAAGCATTGGATAGTAATTGTGCATCATAAAAGCATGGAACACTTACCAGTAGGTTCCGTTTCAGCTGTCTCTTACATCAGAGGATGTGGGTTCGATCCCCACTACGAGAAAAGTATGGTGTTGTATTTTATAGGCCCAAAGCTGATTGTGGTGTATACATTACTTAAGACTGCATCAACTCTTACAATCATTCTTTTTCAGCTAAACACAATAAGAAATAATTACACAATTTCCATATATTTAGTGTGATTTATTATGTAACAGCTTTTTTATATGGTATCAAATTTTTTCTCAGAATAAAACATATCGATAAGTAAACCTCAGGATAATCGGTACGAACGGTAAGGACGACAGCACAGGTGATACAACATAGATCTCTGCGCTGCGTTGGCACTCTCTCTATCGGTCGATAACGACCATCAATCAGTTGAAAGTAACGTTATAATTAATTGCCTCATCGCCGAAAATGATCCATTGAGATATAACGCTTATTACACTATCATTTAGATAAACATCGGGATTGATTAAAATTTATTTAACATATCATGTGCTTACTATTATTACATTCGATATGATATAATTTCAAATTGGTGTCTGATGTCATAATTATTCAAAACTATGTTGACAGCAGTTGAATTAAAGTCCACCGGCACAGACTTTGACTGCCAAATTTATTTCAACCGTGTTAAAATTGTCCATTTCCGATGGAGAATGATTGGAGGCAAATTCAGAATCGAGCTGTTCATGGATCTCCGGCTATCTTTTAAGTCCCATTTATATCATTCAACCATAAACATATTACGAAATATAAATACAGAGTGTATTTTCTATGTAGCTCCACTCAAGGGTTCTAGCAAGTAGATCATCATAAGACATTGCTACTGCGATGAGGCGATCGTCGGACTGATCGTAAAAACTGTAAGATCGTTTTATATTGCAGTTATATAGTTATAGCACTGTGGTAAGGCCATGCAAAAGTCTTCACTGTTGCACGATAGGGCAGGTTCGTCCGGGCAAATACGACCTCACAGAAGACCGGCGTGAAGTGGGAGGGTTACACTTCTATGTCTCGTCTGGTGAGTGAGGTAGCCGGTTCCTCTTTATTAAATGGTGGCAACGTATCTGCTACCTTTCGAGTGTTGCAAATGTTAATGGATGGCGGTTATCACTTAATATCACGTGAACTGCCAGCTCGTATGGCATCTTCTCACATAAAAAACCCACGTTGTACGCAAGTACTGATGAGATGAACAGAATGTTTTGAAGAAATCTCAGTTTATGTTTGTAGCTCTGTTACGTAAGCTTGTTTGTTTGAGCAGAAAGGCATTCATCGTACGAAGTTAGACTGTATACCAATATTAAACGGAATTTCTACATTACTGATGTAAAACCTACTGACTAACACCATTCACATATTGAGTGATGAATGAGACCCGGCTCTACTGAAAATAGATAGAAATAAAAATATGACAATGGAAAATATTGCAACAGAAAAGACCCATAAGGGACTCAACACACACACGTTTTTTCGAAAAGAGTTTGCTACAAAATATTTTGCAAGTATTCTTCAGACGAGGAGTAAGCATGCACATAAAAATTTAGGATGCTTTTAACCTGTAAACCTTCAAAACTTACTGATTTATCATCAGAGATTTTGTTTTCTTTTCACATTTTGGTGATAAAGTCATTTTCAAAGACTACAGTAGGCCATTTTTAAATAAGTAATCCCCTAAACATTTTATTAAATCTCTTTTGGTTCGTACTTCCAAGTGAAACATAAATTTCAATAGACTTTGTTTATCAACAGAATTCCGAAAATCGATGGCTCTAATGGAGGAAAAAGTAGCTATCATACGTAATATGGAGATAAAAGTCTAGACGCGCACTATATAAAGTAAGTATGGCGATGAGTTAACAAATCAATCTATTTCCAACTACCAAAATGGTTCGGTCAGCCTTCTTGGTACTACTAAGGTATGTTAGTCACACATATTAAATTATTTATTTTGTTTCAGATAAGGCCGTAAAGATTATTGTGTTGGAAGTGTATTAAAATTTTAATATTTAGTTCCTATTGCAAGGATAGTGTCTTGTAACTTCTTTGCTTCCGCACTAGTGACTTCGATCAGAGGTCTTGTGTCATCGGCACCGATTGTGATCAAAAAATTCAATAGTTACAGTAAAGAATCCGATAAGGAACGAACCTTCACCCGTCAGTGTAATGTATGTAAAAGTATTTAATATGTTTGTCATGCTAAGTAATATATTGCGAAGAGATTGCCTGAAAAATTTCTGTACGGAATTAAATTGATAGGAAATTGTTTTTTTTTTTAAATTGCACTGTTTGTTTAATACACAAATTACATCATCATCATCATCATCATCATCATATCAGCCGTAGGACATCCACTGCTGAACATAGGCCTCCCCCATTGACTTCCACTTCGACCGGTCGTTAGCGGCCTGCATCCAACGCGTCCCTGCGATCTTGGCTAGGTCGTCCGTCCACCGTACATAAGAAACTATAATAGCAAACTAGGATTTTAATCTTTATATTAGCTTATTATTTATCTTATTTTTATTTAAAAAAAATCCCCGTTTAGAAACATAATATATTATGGAGTACAAGGGAAACTTCTTAAAAACGAAATTTATCATTAAACAACGATAATTATAAATTTTTGATTTTTCTACAACGGGCGCATGCGCGATAACATCTAATCATACCACTTTTTATTGAGTATCGTAATTCGCCGCCTTATCTTTTTATCTTTCTTGTCCCATGTGTACAAAAATGTGCCTAAATGGTACTCTTCCTGAAAAAAAAAAACCGCCCACATGCGAGTTGGACTCGCGAAAGATATGTTAGATAGGTTTCGTACCGACATCCATAAAAACGGCAGAAAAAATCATGGCTGTTATATGGGAACCCCACTTAAATATTTTTTATTCTGTTTTTTACTATTTGTTGTTATATCGACAACAGAAATACATCATCTGTGAAAATTCCAACTGTTTTACTGTTACGGTTCATGAGATACAGCCTGGTGACAGACTGACAGACAGACAAAGAAGTGTTAATAATACGGAACCCTTAAAATCACTCTGAATTCTCTTCTAGTTATTGTATTGCCGCCTAAGCTTATTTCAGAAAACAATGTCCTCACCATCACCACGTTTAAGAACAAGTTTTTTTTATTTCCTTTTAGCGTCTTAATTGCTGCAACGACGGAGGGGAAACCGAAGCAACGGTTAAGTCGATTCCCTGAAGATTTCGAGTTCGGATCGGCCACGTCTGCATACCAATCAGAAGGCGCTTGGAATGTTGATGGTAAGCATTAATTAATTAATCATGTTACTGATTGCTATTCGATTATCATCAAGATATCTTGAGGTCCTAAATCACGTTATCTTTTGTGTACCTGTACCTTTATGTATTTCATACAGATTTCAATCAATAATCAAACCAAAATTGTCTTCGAGATTACCATCGCAATTCTAACTGCGATATGGCAGCATCTGTGCCATCTGATTTTTTTTTGTTTTTTGTGTTTGTGATGTTCGCCTGTAAACGTTCGTCACATATGTAATTAACTATGGTTTCAGTTTCATCTTTTCAATGCTTAATACGATATTTGAACTAACGTTGGTGAAACTTTTGAAGAAATAAATAAAAAAATTCTACCCATATGAAGATTGATGATGTTGTAAATGGATAATGAGGATTTTTAATTAAATCTTTTTCAAATAATATCATGTGCTTGTTTATAAATAACTGGATATATGAACAATAGCGCCATGTAACACTTGACATTATTTAACAGGGAAAGGACTTTCTATATGGGACCACCTAGTACGCACAACGCCAGAACATATATTCGACAACACCACCGGAGACGTAGCGGCCAATTCCTACTTTCTTTACAAGCGGGACATTGAAATGCTGAAAGAGCTCGGTGCTGCCAACTATAGGATGGCAATATCATGGCCAAGAATATTGCCAAATGGCGACACCAGTCAAGTGAACCCACTGGGTATCGCCCATTATAACGCCGTAATCGACGAGCTGCTCGCAAATGGAATTACACCATTTGTCACAATTTACCATTGGGATCTACCGCAAGGACTAAGCGAAAAGGGTGGCTGGCTAAACGATAGCATAGTAGAGTGGTTCGCGGACTACGCTAGGATCCTCTACGAGAACTTTGGCGATAGGGTAAAGAATTGGTTGACAGTGAACGAACCGTATGTCCACTGCTTCCTGGGCTACGGGTCGGCTCTTCATGCACCAAAGGTGAACTCGCCGGGTGTGGGCTATTATGACTGCAGTAGGAATATGCTTTTAGCCCATGCGAGGGCTTACCATATATACGACGAGGAGTTTAGGGCGTCGCAAGGCGGAGAGGTCGGCATTGTTTTGAGTTTGGACTGGCCGATAGCAGAGAGCGACTCGGAGGATGACCAAAATGCCGTCAAAGATTATATTGCATTTGGCGTGAGTAACATTGAATTACTATTCAACAAATATTGAAACCGAGGGATTATTATAACGTTTCTTTTGATATGTTATGTACAATTTAACGCTAATAACCAAAGTGTCCCAAAACAATTCAAAAGACCCGGTGAGTATGTAATGGTTCATGATGACTGTCATATGAAAAATGGCTTTGTTAAGAGCTTGCGCAAAGAACCACAGTACTTATAGAAAGAGAAATCATTGTGGTAATGAGAGGTCCGTTTGTTCTTCTATTTACTCCAATTAATTAAAAATTCATAAATCTAAACGCAAAACAAATTACCTTTTTTAATGCCGACACTTCCCGTGGTAGGGCCATGCAACAATCTTAGCTGTTGCACGAATGGGCAAGTCTGTCTGGGTAAGTACCATGACCTCACAGAAGATTGAGGTGAAGTGGAAGCGTTATACTTCTGTGTTTCTTCTGATGAGTGGTAGCCCCGGCCAGTTTATTAAAAGATGGTAAGGCATCTGCAACCCTACGGGTGATTCAAATTTCAATTGGCGGCAGTTTCGATTGCTACCTTCTCACTCAAAAAAAAAACTCCCTAACTAGCTTGTACTTGACAACCATCCTCCCTGCTAGTACGTTTATAGCACACATCAAAAATTAACCACTCGAACTTTATAACAATCGCAACACATCATCAGTAAATACAATGTTTCAGCTTGGACATTTCATGGACCCCATATTCACGGAGAGGGGCAACTATCCACAAAGGGTGATAGACCGCGTTGAAACAAACAGCATTCAGCAAGGATACAATGCTTCGAGACTTCGTCCTCTAACTGAGGAGGAGATTGACTACCTAAAAAGCACGTCCGATTTCCTCGGACTCAATCATTATTCCAGCAAGATCGTTTATAGGAATGAATCTGTAATTGGGCAGAACGAGGTACCGTCACTAATTGATGACGCTTTTTACGGCCAATATAATCATCCTTCTTGGCCGCTTACCGGTGGATTTATTTACGTGAGTATTATGCCATCAATTGATGTGGAGTCAAAAGGCAGTCAAGAACATTTTTAAAAGAAACCCTTCTTCCAGGAATACGCACCGGGCTTCTATAATCTTCTTAAGTACGTGAAAGACACATACAACAATCCGAAGGTATACATCACTGAGAATGGGTGTTCCGTAACCGAAACGGGTCTCGTAGACCCCATTAAGGTGCGCTACTACAGAAACTACCTGAGCGCACTTCTCCAAGCAATAGAGGAGGGAGCAAACGTGAAGGGCTATTTCGCTTGGAGTTTGATGGACACCTTCGAGTGGACCTTCGGGAACACGTAAGTTTTAATATAAAATAGTTTGCATGGTTAGTTAATCTTACAGTAAGTTAGTTTAGCGATGCAATCATTTATTAGGATAATCGTAGTACGCAGTGTAAACTTTGACACTGATGCTAATACACTTTTACCTTTAAAACCAATCAATTAATCCAATAAAAACTGTATGTTACTTAAGTGGGCCCCAGCTACCTCACTCACCAGACCAGGTCTTCTGTGAGGTCGTGGTACTTCCCCGGACGGACCTGCCCATTCGTGCAACAGCGAGGACTGTTGCGTGGTCCTGCCACAGTCAAAATTGAATTCAGTTAATGGGTCACAATATAAATTTCAGCTTAAAATTCGGCCTGTACGAAACCGACATGAACGACCCAGACAGGAGAAGAACCGCGAGAAAATCTGCCCTCGTGTACAAAGAGATCGTGAGGAGCAAAGTCATCGACTACGATTACGACGTCGACCCTTACAGTCAGTAAATGCGGAGCTACTCCTGATGCTTCATGTGGAATAAATGTTTGGCTTTTATGAATATATATTACAGAATCAAATACTATAGAATCAAATACAATTTTTTGTTTCATTGAAAATCCATTAGAGTAATTAAAAGAACCTTATATTCGTTATTAAAATAGTGAATTAAGTAACAAATACACTAGCATTCCTAATATCATTTTCCGTTGACTTTTCTACCGGATCGTAAAAGTATTAGAAAGATTATTACAACCAGTATAGTTACTGGCAAATAACTAAAAATAGAATTTTATTAAACCTTCCCTTCAATGTTAATGATTACTAAAATAGTGGATACATTATTTTCATCGTTCTTTCTGCTTCTAAAATTATGAAAATCGTTAAGTATACTAAGCAACATACATCACTTTTCTATTATGTAAATTGAATAGTGATTTACGGTGGAAATAACTGTTTAGGAATTGATTCATGAAAATTTGCTAACTTATCATATAGTTAAAGTAAAAGATGGAACGAGGAAAAGGTATCATTTGTACCTAAATGACTTATTCGAAAACACAGAAACGTGCCAAGGTTTAAGCAATTCGAAAACTTTTTAAAAGAAATCAATATAACTGAAGTCCACAGTAAATTAATAATAGTCGTGGATAAGAAAAAAATTAACAATTATAAATTATGTATTATCTATTGTACGATACCGGCTCTAATCTCTTACAACAAATCTTTGTATGATAATATTGATTTCCTCGATTGATCTACATTGAATTAATACTGTATTAAATCAATAAGTGATACTGTTGTAGTTTCAATGATCTGAAAAGTTACTGTAAAATTTTAGCTAAATATGAAGATTCATTTATGTACTTATGTTATGGGTAATCTTGAGTTTCTTTTTTTTATATGAAAAGTTTCCTAGCGACGGTTCACCTGATGTTAAGTGAATACCGCCGCCCATGGACATCTGCTACACCCGAGAGTTCCAGATGCGTTGACAACCTTTTGAAAATTGGGCGAGTAACATAAGAGTAAATAAATCAATTGGTTTGACTATTAGAAACATTGTAAATTGTAATGAAGCTCCATTAAGTTTTAATTTTTTCGTCACAGCGAAACGTGAAATTAAATCTTATTAAAACAATCATAAAATGTTTGTATTGAAAACTGGATATTGTTAATTATCAATGCATACCTATTTTTCGAGCCAAATTACTTGTCAATAACGGATGCGAGACTCGGACTACCAAATACAACTATGGTATCGATATTATCGCAACGCTGCAGTAAGGGTTTCAACAATCATGGACATCGCCAATTAGAAGTATTATTAACATTTGTAGAAAAATTGACGAAAAGTTCTCCGCCGCTGTGGGAATCGAACCCACGTTCCGGATTCGCGCCCAATACTTTAACCACTTAGCTAAACGTACGATTGCTGTTTCGACGTAAAACTCAACATCGTTAACATTGTTTTCTCGCGGTTGAAGCAATGCTTGGCGCATCTATTGTGTTATTTGTTCTTTTAACCGATGTTAGCGATTTAAGTCCGTAGACTATTAAGGCTTTATCGAACGCAGAACCCGTGGGCTTGCCAGAGCCCACGTGGCATGTATTGTATATTCTTTCTTCTTTTTTTTAACTTTTTTATGTGAAAAGTTGCCAAACGAGCAGACGGCTCACCTGATGTCAAGTGAGTACCGCCGCCCATAGACATCCGCTACATCCATTGCGTTGACTTTTTGGAAATTGGGCTCCGGCTAACTCACTCAACAGACGACACGCGAAAGTATTTGTCATACTTTCACTTTACGCCGGTCTTCTGTGAGGTCGATGTACTTACCCGGACGAGCCTGCCCATTCGTTCAACAGTCGAGGCTGCTGCGTGGCTCTACCACCGTTAAACCCTTACACCGTTTTTGCAGCATACATACAATTTGAAATATCTTTTTACAATGATAATTCGAACGAGAGATGTCACCATTTCTATTAGACATTTAAATTTTTATAGTGCTCATCTCTGCGCTTAAGACGATACATTAAAATTTGTAATATAATATATATATTATATACAACCAAAATATAAAAGCTTTTCACCGCTGCGGGAATTAAACCACGTCTTCCGCACTAAGATGAGTTAACGCTTCCCGTCATTTAACATACATAATTTTCACGTGGACGAACACCCAGATCTGAAACAATTATCTGTGGATAGTAGTTATTCCGTGCGGGAATCGAACCCACGACCCCCTGTGCCCGAAGCCAATATATTGGCAACGACGCCATGCGGTCATCAACTTTTCCTTCTCACGGAAGTTTTACCTTAAAGTTTTTCTCGTAGAAACCAATGCAATATTGTTGAAACTGTTTTTGTTTTGAACAGTTAGACGGTATGGTTCTGCTACTTCTTTAAGGATCAGCTGAACTTAACTGAAGGAGTAAAAATAACAGTTTTCAAAATTTAAATTCAAAAAGTAATCATTAAGTATAAATCCGATTTATTAAGGACTGTTTTGACATTTTTCTAAATATGTATAAAGTCAAAGTATTGGATTATTAATAGAATGAATGAATGAATGAATGAATATTCTTTATTGCACACACCATGGTAAAAAGAATACATTAAAAATAACAATTATGTAAGGGTTGTACAATGGGCGGCCTTATTACTTAAAGTAATTTCTTCCAGGCAACCTTTGGATGGACATAATATGAAAATAATATTTTAGGGGTGTGGGTAAAATTCTATAAATTTTATAAGATAAATACATTCTTTGTTGTAAAAAATAAATAAATGAATAGATAAATGAGTACATAAATAACAAAATAAATATATATATATATATATATATAACATATATACCTATATATATATATATAAACATAGTTAATACATTCTGTATCTAAACCAGATTTAAAGTGACAAATAGTGACTCTTGACAAGGTTTTTAAAAGTGGAAAGTGACTGAGCACGTCTCACCTCCAGAGGCATTCCATAATTTCGCACCTTGAACCATAAAGGACTTAGCCATAAATTTTGTTTTGTGAGTAGGTATTTTTAATTTCAAATTCTCTGATGATCTCAGAAGATGTGGATGGGATTCGTGTAAAAACTCGAAACGTTTCTTTAAATAAAAAGGATACGAAGGATTAAACAGAACGTTGTAAAGAAGGGAGAGTATATGAGCATTCCGGTGAAGTCGAATGGGTAACCACTTGAGCTTAGAACGGAAATGTGAAACATGATCATATTTACGTAAGCCAAATATGAATCTTATACAGAGATTTTGGATACGTTCAAGCTTATCAAGTTGCTCCTCTGTTAAATCCAGATAGCTGACGTCGGCATAGTCGAAAATGGGGAGAAGTAGACTTTGAGCAAGAGCAACTTTGGTGGCTGTTGGTAAGAAATTACGTAATCTCCTCAAGGATACTGCAGAGGCAAATACTTTGCGGCTAACCTCTTGTAGCTGGGGTCCCCAGGATAAATGTTTATCAAACTGGATTCCCAGGTTCTTAACAGTTTGACTAATAGGGATAAAATTTCCGTCAAAGTTAACTTTCGTCTTACTCAGCATTCTAGACGAACCGAAGACTGTAAGTTGTGTCTTCAGCGGATTCAACTTAAGACCATGTGCATTGCTCGATGCAGAAATTTTTAACAGGTCGTCATTTATACATTTTATAGCCACATGTAAGTCTTCAGTGCAAGCTTGAGTGTAGATTTGAAGGTCATCTGCATAAAGGTGGTAGGATGAAGTAAGATTATTTGATATCGAGTTTATAAAAACTGAGAAAAGTAAAGGAGATAGATCGAAATGAAAATATGTTACTTGAAGACGTACAATAATCTTATTCACATTAGTCAGAAAATTAATACGCAGAATATACACCAGTCACTTTTCGCAGTGACTTAGGAATTAGTCATTTGGCTTAGTAGGGAATATTGACTCGTAAAATAACTAAAATGTAAGTGACGTGAATCATTAGTAAAACACATCTCTTGAATTAGTGATTTCATGAAATCACTGATTACAATAATTGTTTATTGGTAATAGTTTTCGAAAGATCTCAAAATCATCCCCAACTCCTGGTGGTAAATGCCTAAGCGATGGATGATTGGTCAACCGAACAGCTGAAACGTGGACCAGAAGCGATTTATTACTTTTAACTTCCATTTATGTCATTATTTTATAATCTTATGGATGATGCTTTTTAATGACATAGTGCGGGAGGGTAACAAAGTTTGTGCATAAAACCGAAGTCTGATTTATTTATGTTACTTCTAAGTGTTAAGAGTCATCAACACATCCCTTAAAGCATATAATGTAATGTCAGCAATAAAATTATTTATAAAAATGATTACTACCACCGTGGTGTAAAATTTACATTAATAAGGAAAATGGACATACTGGGGCATCTACGCTGAGTTATCCTTTTCGACATACTAGGAACCAATCTATAATGTCCATCAATCAGTTGAAAAGAAGTAATAATTAATTGCCTCATCGCTGAAAATAATCCATTGAGATAAAAACCTCATTAGACTATCGTTCAGATTTACATCGGGTTTGATTAAAATTAGTAAATATGGTTTCTATTATCACACTCGATAAGCTATACTTACAAGATTACCATTGTCTGATGTCATACCTAAAACTAGTATGTAGAGTGCAGCTGGATTGTAAAATTCATACGGTCTTTGCAGGAACATAGAACACAAAATTGAGTAACATATTACACCAATTATGTCATGCCAATTGAAAAACCCACAAAGTAGAATGAAATCATGGTCTGGCTATTCAGATATTTTTAACTAAATAATAGGTATTTGATGTCATACCTAAAATTGTTATGTAAATTTTTACAAAAAAAATAATTATTTTGTTATAAAATTATTATAAGAAACTTTTAATAAGCATTTTGAAATGCTTTAGATTTTTCTGAGAAGCTTTCGCTTATCGCTCTGTCCCAAGGGACTATATATTCCTTTATATCATTATTGAGT